GGTCTTCGTCATTATTTCGTTGAGAAAACGTCCAAACTCATTATGTCAATGCACAACAAGCGAAATTCATGCATTTTCGCTGATCAGATGACTTTAGAGGGAATGGTACACGAAGAGTACCAGTTACAAAGGAATATTATAGAAGAAGAAACCGGTGCTAACCCAACCATAACAAATGATAACAACCAATGATCATAATAGCGTAGAATAGTAATTATATCTACTTTCATTTTTACAAAACGATTTTATCTTATGATCACTTTTCCTTCTTGAAGGAATATTGCCGAACTCAACCACTTCTATCACAATCATTTCATTGCTCTGAAACCCGTCAGACCTTTCTGACTTATGGAATCTGGAGACCATTGCAATAAAGCACCTAATATAACAAGAAGTCAAAGGCGGAGAGCGACATAGATGCTAGTAACTTAAATATGCTTCAGAGGAAAGATAGTCGAAGTTACATTGTAGCATTCCCTTGGAAAGGAAAAGAGGAGTATCTCCCTACAAATTGATCAGTAAGTTAGAAGAGGATAGAGTAGGCTACAATCAAACTCAAACAACTGGAGTGATTACGATGCACTGTTCAATTTGCGGGAAAAGGAAGAAAATATTGCACATTTCCTAGCTCATCATCCTGTACGTGTTTAAGGCGTATGTGCGGCCAGTTTTTGAAGCGTCATGTCATGTTCCAGAAAAACCAAGTTTGAAGAAACACAATTTAATTAAGTTGATTCCATCGATTAACCGATAACTTATGTATATTTATCGATTAATCGATAACTTAAAGATAATTATAGATTAATCGATTAGTCGAAAAATTAAATAAAGGTCGACTAATCGATAATTTATCGAAAATTTTTAAGGATTGGTCGATAAATATATAATTACCGATAATCTATCGATTCATCTCACAACTAAACTAAGAAGATAGATAATTATCGAGAGAATTTTTAACGACACAAACTTGAGAAGTCCATTTTCAATGTTTATATCAGTTTACTTGAAACAAAAGCGATCAAGTGGAATTGTCATGATCACAACTCACAACCTACTTTCTCTATTAATTTTTGAGGATTATCGGCCACTTGATAACCTTTGATTTCAGAAAACTTCAGCATACCTACCTATAGTTGTTTTAATATTTTTCAAAAGATCCTGTTTTTATTTAAATTATCTCTCGCAATATACCAAAAAAGCAAAAATGTTAGCGAGTGTACGCATGGATGATGTAATTATACCGATTGAGAATATATTTATATCGATAAGATTTATGAAAAAGTATCGATAGTTTTCTCTTGATAATTAACGCTACTTATCTATTAATCGATAATTATCACAGACGGACAATTTTCGACAAATGTCAATAATAGTCGACAGCTAAGAGTCATTATTGATTATTTTCAAAAGTTATCGATGATTATAAAAATGTATCGATAATTATCAAACGTTATCGATTATTATCGAAAATTGGCGTTACGATTTATCGATTATTATCGATAGTTATAGATAATTATCTAAAGTTATTATTATCGATAGTTATCGATTAACGATTAATCGATAAATCGATAACAATTTCATTTATCGCCCGGCATTAGACTTTCGTTACAAAAAGGGAAGTTCGCATTCCAATGTTGGGAGTTGGTGGGATGTTTAATCCTCGAATGTGAAAACATCCTGACTCACCTCTGGACTGATTTTTCAGTTTCCGTTTGGATACAAAAAAGATGGGGATTGGGTAGTGTTTGCTTATAATCAGGTGATATGGACGGGAGCAATGGAGACATGTCGTTGGTAGTCTGAATCCAGCAGACTTGCCTTTAAGAGGATACACCCCTTATCAATTTATTGGATTCAGATGGTAGGGGGGGGGGCCCTGAGTGGTTGTCTCTGTTGCCAGTTATAAGTGAAGTTGAAAGAAAGCTCAGAAAGTCAGATGATGGTAGAATCGCCGTCTTATCGAAGGACTCTTCCAATCTACGGTTAGATCTTACGACTTGTAAAGCAAGAGAAAGGCATACCTTCTTTATCAATGGTGCGTGCTGAGTACAGATAAAACAGAACGTTTGAATGTGAAACGTGACTCCAAGGACTCATTCGTCTGGAAACCCGACTTTGGTGTAGAGAAAGTAAGAATGATTTTATCTCACTCAGCACTTGTCACAACTCTAATTTACGACTTTCTTTTGATTCATGGAGTCAACTACATTCGTGAAAAGTTGAGAGAAAAGTGCTGGATAATCAACTACAGGAGGGCGGTGCAAAGGCGATACGGAACTCTAAGACTAGCCTTCGTTAGAGTACTAAACCACTAAAAGTATACTCAGTAACTTTTAAGCTATTTTGTTCGTTATGGTGTCGAGAAAGGAATGTGCAAATCGCAGTGTTAACAAAATTGACTAAGTTGGCAGTCTGTCCGTTCGCACGATATCTTGAAAACAAGTGACATCCCAGTTAGTTACGAACCAAACTATCTAGTCCATCCTGATGATTACCCAATGGCCCAAGAGGAATGGTAAGATAGTTGATGGTATGGGAATCTTAGGAACATATATAGGTACTTTGGTTCTTCATCTGGAAAAACGAGCATCTACCCGTTCTGGTTTTCATTTAACCATATATGAAAGTACATTACACCATTCTCGAAGAATTGGCCGTGAAAGAAAATTAAAGATTGCGACATCTGCACTCATGAAAATCTAGAATCTAGAATTTGATTCATGGCACTCTAATTTCTACCAATCATAGTCCTCCTCTTCGACTCCTTATTGTGATCGGTTATAATTCCTTATATTTCAAGGGCGGATTGTCGGCGGAGGGTACTCACAAAGACCGATTGGAACGTCTACGTAACGTATTCATTGGTGATGGCAAAACTATAAGACAGAATATCTCCAAAACGGTTTGTCGAAGGGGAGTCTTCACAAAGGCAAAAAAATGCTCTGGACGAGACATACCTATTGGTGTGGTGAAGTCGAAGCGATATCTTGAAATCGAAGTACGGGAAGAGAGTATTCATAAAGAGCAAGTAGCACGTCTCGACGAGACACATCTACTGGTGATGTCAAAACTTTCAGTGCAAATAATCTACAGAACGGAATGTCGCGGAGGGTACTCCCAAGGGGTGAAAAGATTTTCTAGACGAGACACATCCACTGGCAATGGGAAAACTTAATTGTGAATATCTCGAAAAGTCATGTTGGAGGAAAAGAATTTCTCTAAGGCTCTAAGGTCTTGATTTTTCTTGCATTATACAGGCTGATTCAAATTCAAGGGCCACCATGGGGATCTCGGAAAGTTAAGAGATAGGTAGGTAGCTTAAAATGCCGTTTTGAAACTGAAAAAATTCCTTTCGGAGATATTTTGAAGAAAATGAAATTTTGCAAAATCGTTTTTATTTTTTATCGAAGTTATTTAAAGAGATATTTCAAAATAAATGACACATTATTATGGCCACTTTTTTCCCTCTACAAGATGCTAATTTGAAATTCTATATCTGACGTTTCGTCTCCGGTTAATCATCATCAACTTTGTTTTTTCTTATTTTTACTGTTGTGTCATTTGATAGGGCATTTCTTTCAGATTTCAAAAATGTAAATACGTACCTATTACTATTTTTTAATAAGAAATAGCGCTATTAATTCGTAAACCCGCAAGAAACATTCAACATACACCACCCAAGACAATGTTTGCCAGACAAAAAGAAGATATTTTAACAATATTTAAGAAATAGTGATGTGCACATTTTTGAAATCGGAAAGGGAAAAAAATGGCCATAATAAATTGTCATTTATTTTGAAATATCGTTTTTAATATCTTCGGTAGAAAATAAAAACGATTTTGGAAAATTTCATGTATTTCAGGATATCTCTGAAAGTAGTCGGAATTCATTCAACTGCATTTTATTAAGCATCAAAATACGCAACTTTACCAAATTTAAATTACCTACCTATCTCTTACACTTACAGTTTCCGAGATCCCCATGGTGGCCCTCGAATTTGAATCAACCTGTATAACGTAGATTTTGAATGTATGCCAGGCGGCCTTTAAATGTTGATGTGTAAAGATACCCCTCCCCATATCTACTAATAAGATAAACATGAACATCGATAGATATAGCATACAGCCTTATAACCCAACTATTTACTAAGCTACTTCGGTAAAAAAAAATGCGCCTTTTGTGCACAATTTATTTAAATTTATACTTGTTCTGAATTCATTTATTATTCATTCTTTTGATATGCGATGACTAAAGTGAACTAGTGTCGATGTTCGCAAGTATAAGAATTTAATTTGAGAAAACTGAAAAATTTTAAAAACTTTTTATCGACTTTTCCAATGTTCAATAATCGCTCGAAACAGCATTTGTAAATGTATCATAGATTTGATTGGTGGAGCAGAATTACATAATGATTTCACGTATTTAACATATTAGAATTATATAAGATCTAAGAATCAGGGTCAAAGGTAAATTAATTTACTTTAACTTTTGCACAGTTGATTGAACCATGAAAACATAATCGGTTTTAAGTGTGTGATTGTGTCAGATAAGAACGTGTTCGTGTCAAATACATAAACATAATAAAGAACCTCCAAATTAACTAACCATAACGTCCAATAAACGGGCAATTAACGGGAAGGTCAAGATTTTTCACATAATCTTCCGTAAATTAGTCGCTTCTTACGCAGCGATTTTGGCGGGAACGTTTTATAGCACGTGTAAACTTGAACGGGTAGATCTTAGAGCGTTTACTCACACGAGGAAAGTGTCGTAAAAGAAAAAGTAAATAAAATAGCAACATCGTAAAATGTTTTATAGACCCAATGCTGTATTGACTTAGATTCACTCGAGTCACTTTCAGAAAATATTTTAAAAAACATTTCGAACGCGTAAAGCAACTCATCCGTTTAAATTTATTCTGGAAATATGATGTTCTATGAATAAAATGAATAAGTCAAATAAGTGAGAAGCCAAATACCTATAGAGTAAAGTGGGGTAATATGGCAACATATAATTCAATGGCTCACATTCTCACAAGCAGCTGATCCAGCCGCACGGCAAAGGTCGCATCTTAGAGCGTGAATGTGTAGGTTTGTCGCGTGAAACGCTCGTTGCCATATTCCCACTAATATAATGGTTACAAACATAAATGTTGAATGATGCGCTTTGGCCGTATTACCCCGACCCATGGGTAATATGGCATGATGCGTTGGGGAATATGGCAACATGCTTTTCTCGCAAGAAATGTAAAATTTTTTGAGATTAGAAAAAATGTTTATTTTTGACAACAAAACATTAGAAGAAATGTTTATTTTTTACAACAAAACAAAAATGTGAATACAAACGAAATAGGCTATATAGCTATACACAATCTGCGCAATGTTTGTCTGAAGGAGTACATATCTCGTGAACCCAATTATGGCATTTTACACATTGTAACCAATCACATTTGGGACCTGTTTTATCAAAATAGTATCCACCGCATTGGGCACAAAATTCTGATTCATCATGCTCCAATTCTGAATCTCCGCTTTCAACTGTATTCACTTCCAATTCGCTTTCTGATGAACTGGTATCATCAGTAATCCTTGTATTCCTTTTTTTCTTTGTCTTCTGTGTGCCTTTCTTGTTTTTATTGGCTTCTTTTCTTTCCTTTTCTTGTTTGCGTTTTAGTTTTTCAGCTTCCTTTTTGTCTTTTGTTTCTTTTTTGTTTCGTTTTTCTGCTATTATTTCTGGAGATGTAAGTAGTTCAGCATGCTGTTTTCTTTTGTTACACCGACTTGGTCCAGGTATGACTGGAATAGGTGCAATCGCTTCAAATGACGTATTGTTGGTCTTGGAGATTACTGCAACATCATCCAAAATATTGACCCCGTTGTTTGGATCATCATTGGGGGCAATGTTATTATTGTCGGCATCATTAGGAATGACAACATTAACGTTTTCTTCTAAATTTTCGTTATTAGGAATTGGATCAGGATTTTGCTGAATAAATGCATGATCTGGAATTATGGTAGCATTAAGCGGATAGATACCACATGTTCTAAAACCCGAAATTCCGTTTTGAACTGTCGCCGCCTTTCCCCATGCGGTATTTAAGAGTGTGGGAAACTGGAGTCTAGTTAATTTGCGACCTGGATGATTATGTATCCAGGTGTTACATGCTTGTGACCAATAGGTCTTTAGAGGCTTAAAAAAGGATCTATCTAGAGGCTGCAACCAATGGGTCGTATGGCTTGGTAAGCACAACATTATAACATCGTTACTTGAAGCTAAATCTAACAACTCTACATCGGAACAATGCGAGGAGTGGCCATCCAGAATGAGAAGTACTTTACCTGGCTCCTTTCTTGCAATAAAGTGGTTTTGAAGCCATGTTTTAAAAATGTCTGTCGTTACATAGGCCGACTTTTCATTCATGATAACTTTACCCCCAGGAGGCAAGCCATCTTCAAATTCTGGTTTTTTTTTCTTACCTTTAAAAATACAAACTGGAGGAAGGAAATGACCTTCTGCATTTACACATGCTATAACTGATACTGTTTCACCTTTCTCACCACTCGTGACACAGTTTACAGTTTTGGCGCCTTTAGTGGCAACAACTTTCCCCGGGTTATTGTTTAGTTGTAGCCCCGACTCATCAATATTAAATATTTTTCGCGGAGTGTTTACTAAATCATTTTCTGTTAATATTTTCCCCAAAAGATCAAAGTATCGTCCGCATTCGTCTTTATTCATGCCTTGAGCTCGAGCTATAGACATTCCTTGCGCTTTTCGAATTGACAATTCTGGATGTCTTTGCATAAATGAAACAAACCAGTCATGGCCAGCTTGTTTTTTATCAATATTAAAATTGTGGGGAATATTATTTTTAGTTGCAAATGAAAATGCAAGCTTCTTTACGTCAACCGATGTTATGGCAAAGCCATGTTTTTCCATGTTTTGAATGTATTTTACTAAACTAGCTTCATGAACTAAAGTCAAACAACATTTGCGGCCTAATTTTTCTTTACTGAGGTTTCCAGAGCTCATCCTTCTCATCAAAGTACGGGCAGGAACATTGTACGTACGACTAACCTCGCGAACTGACCCTCTACCATTTCTAAGGTCTTCAATAGCATTGCGAAGATCTTCTTCGGACCATAACGCCCTCACATTTTTACGAACGTAATTTCGTGGCATTTTGATTGTTACTGAAATAAAACAAAAATATTTTCAACCTCTCGGGGTAATGTGCCGCAGTTAAAAACGATGACGCATATTTCCCCACATTCACCTTCTTACTTTGAAAATTCGCAACAACGCTTTTAGATACGTTTAACGGGTTGTTCCGCCAAAAAGAGTTAGGTTAGGAATCGTATTTTCGCATGCTCTTATTACAATTGGGTTACAAACACTTAGAACTGATTTTATAACTACGTATAACTGGACTTAAGAATTTATTTTAAACGGTCCTTACCTTTACACTGATGATTTTCACTGACGATTTAATTAATTTGAATTCTGATGAATTTTGGAATGGTTGGTACCTCACACTAATGTGTTAACATGAACACTGTTGCCATATGTAAGCTTAGAAGGAAAATAACAAACTGCGGCGTATTACCCAGCGCGGCATATTCACCCACTTTACTCTAATATAATTTTACCCTTGCGCAATGTTCTGTAAGTAATAATATCGAATTAATTTATTGTTTTATCTTATGTAGTAAATGACACTGTCATTATTATTTTATAGGACAGCTGTGTCATAAGTCTGAATTTAGGCATGACATACGGTTGGGAAATACATTCTGGATTTACATTGCAGGCAACTGCGAAAATACCAAATTATAATCGTTTTTAATTAATGCTTCTTTTCAGATTTATGTTTGACGGTTTGCCGGGAAAAAAACAGTGACGCCTAATAAAGTTTGAAAGTCCATTAATAGGTCTACACCATCTTTTTATTTGACATATGACCTACACATTTACATAAAAATTAAGTATTTCTCTCGATCTCGGTGTGTAACAATTTCATATTAAACGGGTAGTTCTGGGCATTAATTTCAGGTTAAATTGTGACGATCAAGATATCTACACGTATTTATAAATATATACATTGCAATAAATAACATCTTCTGACAATGAATTTAAATTTAATGTTAATTTTGTCAATAGTCCAAATAATGCAGTAACCTAAAATATAATGAAGTATTTATATGCATACTAACTGCCGGTGCGGAAGGAGGAATCTAATAATAAAGAAAACGTTTAATAAAGTTACACCAGTTGAGCCTCTTAAGATTACATTTCAGTACATAACACAATACCTCTGCGTAAATAAACTTGTTAATTGGCCGTTAGCGCCGCATATCTTCAAATACCGGTTACAGGCTCATTGAATTTCTTTAAAAAAGAATCTTATTGTCAAAATCACATTATCATATTTAGAAAAGGAGCTATCGTGTTTAGCATGTAAATAGGAATTTCTATCAATTATAATATAATAACAATTTATACATAGAAATTATATACTTCTTGGTTGAGTGCACTCTAATAGCTATATGTAATTTATCTTAAATTTGACGTCTACGTACTTTTGGCGCATGTGCCTAATTATTTCAAGAGAATGCACGCGGGGGCTAACCACTAGGATAGTTGTCGAAAAGTGGGTTGAAACAAATTAGTTTATTACTTCCGTAGTAAAGCTTTCTGTAAAACTGAAAAATACATAAATTTTAAGACAGGGCTCATTTTTTTACGGTTTGTATAGCTTATATTTACTCCTCTCTATAAATTGCATCATGAGTCATGACAACCTTGATTCAAGATACGTAATGTAGGAAATAATGAAACTAAAACTGAATATCTTGAAAACTGTAGAGGAAAATAACTTAAAGAGTTTTAGTGTGCACTTGTTAGATTTTTTAAAAATAAGTGAACTTGCATAGATTTAGAATTTTACTTCTCTGAATTTTTCTGAATTTTACTGGTTATTAATTGATGTAATTTTTCACAATTTCTCTTAATTTCAACTATTGTGTAGATGTAGTTTTACAGTTGTTTCTTACTCGTTTAAATTCCTTCTTGGAGCAGTTCATGACTGGTAATTTTATGACATATAAAACAAGTACATCAAATGCGGGACTTTTTTACACAGTCCATGCGTGAAATGACATTGCTTCAATTTTATTCTCGAATTAAACAATAAATGGCAATGTAACACATTCTGCTACTCATTGACCTAAGAAACAGAAGGAACTAGTGGTTGCCCGGAAACATGACGAACCTTAGATGTCAAACTTTCATTTTTGAGTTTTTGCAATGACTACTCAGCCATTTCAATAGTGGTTCGTACGTAGTGAATCTTTATTCTTTGGGGAAGTTATGAGTCCCTCTTCCACTTACAAAAATGTACAGGGTGGTTCAAATTCGTGGCTCACCATTGGGATCTCCGTAACGGTAAGAGATACAGTGTAGGTTAAATGGAGGAAAAGTGGCAACGCATTTGAAATTTTTGAGAAATCTTTGAAAATAACTGACATATCACCGAAAAACTGAAAATGTCAAGTTTCGTTTTTATTTTCCATAAATGGTCGGAAATGGATGGTTCTTGTTGACACCTTCTATGGGCAGTTTTTTTCGTGGAATCTGGATCGGTTATCAGAACTTCCATAACACCTAGCTGTAGACGCTATAGGCTACCGTTCTGTGCTTGCTTATGGACGCCATATTGGATTTTTACGGAATGAGATAGAGGCCAAAAAACAAAAACAATGACGTCTCACATTCTATCCTTTTATCCAGTATTGCGTCCATAATAGTACCATGTAGCTTCTACATCTAGCAGGTTATGGAAGTTTTTTGGTAGCAGATTCGGACTCTCCAAAAAAAGGTGCCATTAGGAGGTGCTAACGGGAACCGTTCACTGCCGACCGTTTAAGCTAAGGAAAATAAAACCGTAATTTGACATTTTCAGTTTTTCTGTGATATATCTGTCATTTTTAAAGATTTTTCAAAAATGTCAACTGTACCCCCATTTAACCTACACCCTACCTCTCACCGTTACGGAGATCCAATGGTGAGCCACGAATTTGAACCAACCAATATGTGGGGCTTATGTGTCGTTAGTTCTCGATGGAAACGGACCATTGTCGTCAGCAGTTTACAGTCAGTTTGAACATGTCATCTTTGTTTTGTTGCTAGTAAACTGACACTTTTACTTGGTTGGAAATTGCAACGTTAAATGTTTTTGTATCAAAGGCACGGTATAGCAAAAGCAAATTTTCTACTGCTGGATTATATTACACTGGCAAAACTCTGACGTGGAACAAGATATAATCAACGCTTCTATCTAAACATGCCTTTCGGCTCGGCCGATCAGATGTAGGTATATTTCTTTCGACCATTCACGAACTTGACCGAGTTACACCAACCCTTAAAGTTTGGTCGAAACCGGTTTATAATTTCGAAAGTTAGAGTGTTTCTTGGAAGTGATATATATAAACCTATATATAAGTGTACTGGTACCATTACAATAGGTAAATTGAGAGAAATCTACTTAAAACGGGTGACACGCTACCATGCTTCCATGAACTAAAACGCAACCAGATTTATTGTTGGAGGGAATGTCGATCTTGGAGTGCGTTAGAGATAAGAGGGTCACATCAATATCTCTTTTATTTGGCGAGATACGAAAAATTTGCTAAATATAATTTTATATGTGACATTACGATCTATCTGATCACATATTGAAACCTCCGGTATCGCTTCTGGTTTAACCGGAAATCGATGCACCTTTTGTTTTTCGAATGCAATGACTGTTTTTTTTTAATTATTTGAAAAAAGCAGTGAATTTGCTGTAGACAACATAAAATATGCATATGAGTGATGTACAAAAAAATGGAGAAATTAGTGATTCAATGATTCAATATTTAGAAAACTTATGAAATTAGCATACCGTGTGCTGTCAGGATGCGCGGTGCCTGTTGTGTTACACGGATAGATTGTATCGCGCAAAAGTAAATGAAACATTGAACAAGTTGATGTAGGTCTTTTCTGTATGATAGGACCTGTGCATAGATATTTGCCGTGGTCATGTAAATAAATTAATTATATAAAAGAAAACATTTTTGAAAAATGAACAATGACCATGTTACCCAAATGTGTATTTTACGGTGGTAGTGAAATAGCCCACTCAACGAAGACCAAAATTCCCAAATAGGAAAATAATTCAGATAAAAGCGAATGTTGATGTAGTAGGTGGAGGTGTTAAATAACATTCTAAAAGTATTGATGAATGGGGGTGCAGAATAGCTATTTAGATAAATTGAAGAAAAAAATTACATTTTCACATACATTTCAAAAAGGTGAGAGAGAAGGGCGGGCATTAGAATACCTAAAGTAGAATTTAACCTTATATTAGCTGATGGGCAGGCACAATAGCGTATTGTCACGAGGTGAGGCGGCGCAGCCATGATTTGATAACATGTAATAACCCCGCGCGACGCGTCGAGTAATTCAACTAGTAATACATAAAAATGTTTAGCAAGGACCTCTGATAATCAATGCTTGCGTGAAATATACAGTCAAGATACACCATCAGATGGTGAAGTAGTAGGTAATATGGACATTTTGCACATGTGGGTTGGACAAACATCTACATTCAATGTACAACAGATAACGTCGGTCTGTCGGTACTCTCATTTCCGATTAATCGGCTGAACCGATTGGAACCAAATTTGGTACACATATTCTTAGACATAAAAGTCTTTGGTCAGAACACGCATGCGCAGGTGGTCTCTGTGCTAGCCACAGCAAATTTTGTAATTTCTGATTTAGATTCAGTAGAAAAAATAACAATTTTGATAATTTAACTGTCTTTCTAACTCTATAACTAAACAAGTTAGCAATAGTGCCGGCTTAATTTGAAACAGACTGCATATTGGCATTTATTTCCCTTATAATAACCGACTTAGCTCGTTGATGGACATCCAGATAAGTGATTAGGGTCAGAGTCAGAGACTTTGTCTATTTGGTGCATTCGTTGAATTGCTAGTGAATAACATATACAACATCAATCAGATCATTTTTTGGGCTGATGCATTAATCGGTAACTGTCAATTTCTACGTAGATACAAGAAAAATCTTAGTAAGTCTGTTTTGAAAGAAACAAAAATAATTTAATAAAAAAGAAACTGCGGAAAACATAAGAAACTGGGGAGAAAAGAGCAACCCTCAATTGGCGAATCGTTTTAGCAAGTAAACGTCATCAAATGTGGACATGTGCATTAAAGGATAATTCAATATCACAGCCACATCAAACTCCTACTCCCCTGCGTCTAATGAACTGGCCGCCATCATCCTCCGGCAAATATACTGCATATTGAGGTATTAACATTTATCGTACCGCATCCCATAAACTTTTGTGGACTTCCTTCACGTATTCCACATTCCTAATTTTCCGTAAGCTAGGCATAACGCCGCGTTTTCATCGGTCGATAGCCTTTATACCTCACCATAGGCATTATAACGAACGTAATTTTTCTTGGCGAATTCCTTAATTTACAATTTTGAAAAATTATAATGGCAATTTCTTCGTATTTATGGTTACCAAAACATTAGCCTGACACATTTAATTAT